GGGTCGCTGGTCCATGCCTCAGTTTGAAGATTTTGTAGGTCAGAGGAATAGGTTTTCCTATCATATTGCATATATTGCCCAACGTGCATACATAGATTGGTGGAGATATCAAAACGGTTCTGCATAGGGACGCTGGACCCGGTTTCCAGCATATACACTCACACCATTGTATAGGGACGGTGGACCCGATTTCCAGCAGACACATTGTCACTGTACAGATTCTGTAGATCAGAGGGATAGGATTCCCATCATCTGACATATACTGCTCCACGTGCATACATAGATAATTGGAGATAATAACATAATTCTGCATAGGGACGTTGGACCCGTTTTCCAGCACATACACTCACACCATTGTACTAGCTCCCCACCAATAGATGGAGCCTTCAACGTTGGGGCCTTCTTACTGGGGACGCTCTTATCACCTCATTAAGTAGGTTCCCCGTATACGAAGTTAAAAAAAAAAAAAAAAAACTTTGAAAAGACAATATTACTTCAGATTTTATATTTACCTTTTTATAAATTTTGGAATGACACTTCTCTATGTGAAGTGCCTATGAATTCCCCCCGCAGGTGGCCATGCATGGCCGAGATGGCAGCTGCGACCTAGGCCTCGACCCTGCGACCATAAAAAAAAAAAAAAAAAAAAAAAAAAAAAAAAAAAAAAAAAATTGAAAACATTTTGAAAAACAAATATGTTATGTAGAAAAATACATTGAACAACATTTGCCTTGTGGTTATATCCAAAATTTTTACGGAATTGGAAATTAAAAAAAAACACAAGTTTTATAATTAAGAAAAAAAAAAAAAAACTTTTCCGCTGAAAAATTAAGTTTTTAATTTTTAAAATTTAAAGACAAAGAAAAAAAAAAAGAAAATTCGCAATGTAGCACATCATATATAGCCTCCTGATGAGTTGGTGAAACTCCGACGAAACACTTTGTCACAGCCCCTCGTTTGTTGTCCTCTTCTCTCTCTCTGCCTACGGTTTTACCGGGCAGTTCTGTTTGTGACGATATATATATATATATATTTTTAATAATGTTTTTAGGTATAACAAAATTATTGAAAGTCACAGCCGCATCCAACCTCAGTCGGAGCTGCGGTAGCCGGTCTCACGACAGATATCTGAGTTTGACCCCACGACTACAGCCGCGGGTGATATAAAGGGAAGTGTTGCCGAAAGATCATAAGGATATATAGGGAAGTGCTGCCAAAGGGATATTCGAGGGAGAAAAAGAAAGAGGAAGGTACATACCAGGTCTTAGCGACAAGGAAGGAATAGTCAAGGGAGAAAAAGAAAGAGGAGGGCGCGTACCCGGTCTTGGCGGTAGTCTATATGTGCGATATTTGCATGTAGTCTGGTTGTTGCTGGTAATGTCATCTGGTTATTTCATTATTTAGTGGTTTGCAATGGAGTAGTTGTGTAACCATAGTCTAAGTGCTAAACGCCGATGGAAGAAAGAACTTCAATTGCATTATTGGTGGTGGCGAATGCATGCATCCGTTGACAGTTGAGTTCGATGCATTTTTGTTTTCTAAGCAGCATTCGAGAATTTCGAGTGTATGATTTTTACTAAGTTTCTACAACTCTGGAATTTTATTAATTGCGTTTTGTTGTTTCTTTTACGTCAAGACTGTGTTCCCGGGGCTCAACTTGTATATCTTGAATTACGGCTTGCATCGTCGGGCAGGAAATAACATGCGTACTTTGGAATCTGGACTAGCGTGGCCATTTGAGGCGCTGCTCCCGGTGTGTGTGAGAAACAACCGATGCTGCTTGAATACGGAGGTGGACTTGACGGGCTACTTTTGCTCATAGCTGTTAATCAGTATACGGAATGTTGGTGTTACAACTGAGCTTGGTGTTGCAAAAGGTATTGAAGTTCAGCTTGTTGTGGTTATAGTTGACCTTCAAGTCGTTATTGCTTCTATTTTGAAGATCTCACGCTGTTGATTTCGTGACCTGGTGTTACATCTGTAACTCGGCTGCTGTTTCTTTTCAGGTCGTGGCTGCTTAGTGTTGAATCTTTCGTCTTTCGTCGCGGTATGTTGATGATGCGCATTGCTATTAAACATTGTCGTGGTGACTTTTTTCTTTTGCTCTGTTGGGCTCGTCATAGCACATATTCGAATCAAGCACGGGGATGTGCTTTATTCGAACGTCGTAGTTTATGTCGCGTAGCGGCGGGTTGGTCAGGAGGAACGACGGTGTAGCATGAGTGAGTGGTCAGGCTCTGCAAAAGGGTTATCACTGCGACTTGAAGGTCGGTCAGAGTGTTATTTCTCTACGTTTTGGTCGAGGTTTGACCATTCGGCTGCATGTATTTGCTGCCATTGCGGGACCCTCAAGCACATTCAGATTTCAAGGTTGTCTCACGCAAGTGTGGGTGTACCCTTCCTGAATCTAAGTGACTTGATGCTTCTCTTTCCATCATGTTCGGTCTCAGTCTAATTTTATTGGTTACGAGAGGAAAACGGCATGCGGGATTGAAAACCCATAATCTGTGTCAAGGCCTCTCTGGGAGGTTTGACCCTATGTTGCACGCTGACTGCGGCCGAGGTAGGTCCAGGCCACGGCCGGCGGCCTAGGCCGGGACCCCTCCGGCCGCGGCCGGCCCGGCCGAGTTTTTTCGTCTTCGGTGTCGGTCGATCTGGGGGCCGTTTTCGAAGCTGGGAGCATGTTTGGGGTGGGGGGGTAGGGGGCCAACCCCTCAAAGTGATAGGGCGTCAAAAAAAAAAACACGGGGGGGGTCCTGCACAAGACCCTAGAAGGGTGGCCCGTGAAAAATCCAGCGGCCCTAG